CAAAATGGTGGTTATTTTAAGCCAATAAATTTTGGAGTGATTTGTTACAGTACATAAATAGCTGAAAAATAAACCTTTTTTTGTTGTTGTTTTGCAAGACATTGAGTATTAGCTGTGGATAATTAAAAATAAAGGAATGTCCAATAGATTTCTACTGAAATGGGAGAGACTTTGTCATTTGTACTTAGAAGTCTTTTAAAGGTTCCTTCCCCATAGTTTGCTATTTCTCTGAGGAAAGGAAAAGATAGACATGTCTATGAAACAGACATTTATTGAAATCTGACTTAGTTCTATGTCAGGTCCTATGCAAAAATTTGAAAAAACCACCTAACCGTAAAACAACTTTTCTGTTCACAGGGTACATATAATTTATTGGAAAACAGGGCCATTAAATAATAACACATATAAATATATGATCACTAAATTTGGGATGTGGGGATGTGGGGATGTGGGGATGGAATCAGAGTCTAAATAATGACTAGGCAATGATTTGCCAAAGAAGGTTACACTGAGAGAGAAGTGTGACATCCTAAGATAGCTGGTTAGCATATTTTATTAACTAAGAAGCGAGGGTTCTTAATAGTTTGGATTTTTTTTAATTTTTGCTTTAAGTTCAGGGAGAGATATACAGGTTTGTTACATAGGTAAACTTGTTTCAGTGTAGTGTGTTGTACAAGTGATTTAGTCACCTAGGTGTTAAGCCTAGTACTCATTAGTTATTTTTCTTAATCCTCTCTCTCCTCCCACTCTCCACCCTTCAGTAGGCCCCAGTGTGTTGTTCCCTTTTATGTGTCCATATGTTTTCATCATTTAGCTTCCACATATAAGGGAGAAAATGCAGTATTTGGTTTTTCTATCCCTGCTTTTTTTTTTTTTTTTTTTTTTTGCTAAGGATAATGTCCTCCAGCTTTATCCGTGTTCCTGTAAAGGACATGATCTCATTCTTTTTTATGGCTGCATAGTATTCCATGGTGTAAATGTACCACATTTTCTGTATCCAGTCTACCATATATGGGCATTTAGGTTGATTCCATGTCTTTGCTATTGTGAATAGTGGTACAGTGAACATATGTATGCATGTATCTTTATAATAGAACAATTATTATTGCTTTAGGTATGTACCCAGTAATTGGATTGCTGGGTCAAATGTTATTTCTGTTTTTAGGTCTTTGGGAAATTGCCACACTGTCTTCCACAATGGTTGAACTAATTTACACTCCCACCAACAATGTATAAGCATTCCTTTTTCCCCACAACCTCACCAGCATCTGTTATTTTTTGACTATTTTTTTTATTGTTTTTTAATTTTTATTTCAGTAGTTGTTGGGGTACAGGTAGTATTTTGTTACATGGATAGGTTCTTTAGTGGTGATTTCTGAGATTTGAGTGTACCTGTCACCCAACCAGTGTACACTGTATCCAGTATGTAGTCTTCTATCCCTCACGACCCTCCCAACCTTCACCCTTGAGTCCTCAAAGTACATTATATCATTCTTAGGCCTTTGCATCCTCACAGCTTAGCTCACACTTATATGTGAGAACTTACGATATTTGATTTTCCATTCCTGAGTTACTTCACTTTGAATAATAGCTTTCTAGGCTCCATCCAAGTTGCTGCAGAAGACATTGTTTTGTTTTGTTCCTTTTTGTGGCTGAGTAGTATTCCATGGTGTGTGTGTGTGTGTGTGTGTGTATCATATTTTCTTTATCCATTAATTGGTTGATGGGTACTTAGGTTTGTTCCTTATCTTTGCAATTGTGAGTTGTGCTGCTATAAACGTGTGTGCATGTGTCTTTTTTAATATAATGAATTCTTTTCCTTTGGATAGATACCCAGTAGTGGGATTGCTGGATCAAATGGTAGTTCCACCTTTAGTTCCCTAAGGAATTTCCGTACTATTTTCCATAGTGGTTATACTTGTTTACATTCCCACTAGCGGTATTCCCTTTTCACCATATCCATGACAGCATCTATTGTTTTTTGACTTTTTAATTATGGCCATTCTTGCAGAAGTAAGGTTTTAATTTACATTTTCCTGATGATTAGTGACTTTTTTTTTTTTTTGCTTATAATAGTCAATGATTAAAGCTAAAAAGTAGGCAGTTGAACAAAATGGGGGAAAAGACATTACATTAAGTAATATCAAAAAGATCTCAAATTTGAATTTAATATGTCCTTAATTAACTAGTACTTAATTCTTACAATTCTTTTTCTAATCTTTTTGATTGAAACTGAAAAGTAGACTGTTGTACAAAATGGAAAAAAACGCATTGAATTAAGTAATATTGTGAGCATTATCCCAAATTTGGTTTGTGTGAACCAATATTTCGTTTCTTCCTCAAACTCTATGTCTTATTGACAGGAAACTTTCAGGTGAGGCAAGAGTGCCAATCAAACCAGTTCCCTTATTATATATTACTCATTTTATGTAGAAAAATGTTTGGACATATTTAAGAATTTTGGTGGGAAAGGACAATGTTATTTTATCATGTTCATTATAACAGCATTTGTTAATTTCACAAAGCTACTAGCAAGGATATTCATCTAATAGCTAACATTTGAATGTCTCACATAAGAGTAGAACCTCTCATTTTGGAAAATTATCCAGTGTATCTGAGATCAGTAAGGAAAATAGAAAAAACTACACTTTGGAATAATACCATTAGTAGTTCATTGGCATGTTCAAATGACATATAGACAGCATTCATGCAGAAGGTTTAAAATAAAAAATTATTCCTGGTGGATGAATCTATAGACATTACTAACTATATTTGATTAATAGTACTGTTGAGAATCCCTGAAAATAAATGCCAGGAAGAAGATAGTATCTTCATAAAGAAATAGACTGTTAGAGATTGAATAATCAATGTGAGAAATAAATTCTTTGAAATAAAAATACTTATATTTATTTATATAGCTATATATTAAATAAAATATATAATTTTGTGTACATATATAATTTGTGTACTAATGTCATGATTAACAGTATAAAATCACCTGTAGCTTTATGTGAAGAAACGAGATCTCTGAAGTTCTGTGTGGATGGGTGTTGGTTTTTCAAGGACTTTTTATGCATTTGTGAGCTAAAAAAATGAAAATTAAGAAAGTGAAAAGGCAAGCCACAGAATGGGAAAAAAAGTCTTTGGAAAACACATATCTGACAAAGGATTAGTATCTGAAATAATACAAATAACTCAAACTCAACAATAAGACAATACTACAATCAAAATATAATGGACAAAAGATCTGAACAGATACCTCACCAAGGAAGATATACATATGGCTAATACGCATATGAAAGATGCTCAACATCATGTATCATTAGGGAATTGCAAATTAAAACGACCAAAATCAAAACATTGGCAACATTATATACTGGTGAGGTTGTGGAGCAATAGAATCTCTCATTCATTGCTGGTGGGAGTCCAAATGGTACAACCACATTGGAAGACAGTAGCAGATTTTTACAAAATGAAATACATTATTATATGATTCAGCAAACGAACTCCTTGGTATTTATCCAAGTAAGTTGAAAACATATCCAGACAAAAGCCTGCACATACATTTTTATAGCACTTTTATTCAAAATTGTGTAAAGTTGGAAGCAGCCAAGACACCTTAATAGGTGAATGGATAAATAAACCAAACCATGGTGCATCCATGTGATGGAATGTTATTCAGAACTTTAAAAAATGAGTTATTTTTCTAAAGACTTGCAGGAAATTTAAGCTTTCTTTAAATGGGGAAAGAGTTACGTCTTTTCTATTTTGGAAGTCCAAGTGATGCGATGTGGATATTATCCTGCATCCCAGCACCAATAGAGCTTGATGAGTTTAATTTGTAAAGGTTTATTTATATCTGTCTATTCCATATCTGACTCTATATTTGGAAGACTGGTTTACTTGTAGTTGAGGCTAATCTTTCTTAAGGTGTTTGTCGATCACCTGTTGACATTATTCCTAGGCCCTTAGCCCAGAAATTCTGATACAGTAGATATGAGATGGGGCCCATGAATCTGCCTTCTAGTTAATTCATTGATACTTAGAGTTTGAGGATTCTAGTTTTAGGCCTTGGTTATGATATATAAAGTAACCAGTGTTTTGAAAGAGTACAAGAGTGTATCTGGATTTTCACATTTATTCTCATTTGAATTACACTGATTTAGTTTATCTAAACATGGTAGAAATCGATTCTTCCATTGGGGAACATTGTTGATCTTAAAACACACTTCCAAATAGATGACTTGAGCTCATACATTCTCTTCTCAGCTATCTCTGACTACCTTTTATGAAAGCTGAAATTACTCTTAATAAGTGAAAATTCATATATATGAGAAATACTGTATAAAATTATATTAAAAAGCATTGATCTAAACATTTTAGATAAATTTAAGTAGTCAAAATTTAAAGCTATTGGAATTCTGGAGCCTAATTGCCTAACTGAGTTGAATGTAAATATTGTGACAATGAATTTTCTCTTTAAGATACAAATATTATTGATAACATTTGAAGGCCTGTATAGCACCTTAATTTTATCTGGCTACATTGTTCAGCCTCTTTCACAAAGATTATCACTCTCCTGACTTGTTTATTATTCAGTGTACTTCTTTAACAGTATATTTTCACAACAATTATTATACGAGTTATACAAGGTATTGTTTGGTTTGTTTGTTGTTAGTTGTCTTGTCTAGAAGGGATGATTTTATCTCAGTTTCTTCACTGAATTCTTTAAATATTCTATGAAAAAGGAAGTTTGTCTTCCTCTTGCTAATTAGTTTGTTCATTGGTGAGTGCAGTGATAACATTCAGATTAGCTGTTATTGAAATGTTAGACATTTAAGTTATTTTGGGATAGAAAGTTCTATAAGAATTAGTTTTTAAAAATTTTAACTTTAATAACACTTTTTACTTACACCATCTCTTGGCAAAATTTTGTTTGTTTTCAGGTAAATTTTTGAAAGTAGAAAAAAAAAATCAAAGCAATTTCTAATCTTTCCTAGATGTTTCATGGAACAATCACAGAAGAGCTAACCAGTCATGAAGAATGGAGTCACTATAATGAAAACATAAGAGAAGATCAAAAAGATTTTGTTTTTGTGAAGTTCAATGGACTTCATTTAAAGTCTATGGAAAATTTGCAGTCTTGCATCTCTCTTAGAGTATGCGTCGTCTCAAACAATTTTATTACAGATATTCATCCACTTCAGAGTTGTATAAAATTAATCAAACTTGATCTCCATGGAAATCAGGTAAGCAATAGGCATTTCAGTTATTTGCATATTTTTTTTTTAATTTATTTATTATTATTATACTTTAAGTTGTAGGGTACATGTGCATAACGTGCAGGTTTGTTACATATGTATACTTGTGCCATGTTGGTGTGCTGCACCCATCAACTCGTCATTTACATCAGGTATAACTCCCAATGCAATCCCTCCCCCCTCCCCCATTTAGAAAACAATGGGGTTTTCTAAATATACAATCATGTCATCTGCAAACAGGGACAATTTGACTTCTTCTTTTCCTAACTGAATACCCTTGATTTCTTTCTCTTGCCTAATTGCCCTAGCCAGAACTTCCAACACTATGTTGAATAGGAGTGGTGAGAGAGGGCATCCCTGTCTTGTGCCAGTTTTCAAAGGGAATGTTTTCCAGTTTTTGCCCATTCAGTATGATATTGGCTGTGGGTTTGTCATAAATAGCTCTTATTATTTTGAGGTACGTTCCATCAATACCGAATTTATTGAGCGTTTTTAGCATGAAGGGCTGTTGAATTTTGTCAAAAGCCTTTTCTGCATCTATTGAGATAATCATGTGGTTCTTGTCTTTGGTTCTGTTTATATGCTGGATTATGTTTATTGATTTGCGAATGTTGAACCAGCCTTGCATCCCAGGGATGAAGCCCACTTGATCATGGTGGATAAGCTTTTTGATGTGTTGCTGAATCCGGTTTGCCAGTATTTTATTGAGGATTTTTGCATCGATGTTCATCAGGGATATTGGTCTAAAATTCTCTTTTTTTGTTGTGTCTCTGCCAGGCTTTGGTATCAGGATGATGTTGGCCTCATAAAATGAGTTAGGGAGGATTCCCTCTTTTTCTATTGATTGGAATAGTTTCAGAAGGAATGGTACCAACTCCTCCTTGTACCTCTGGTAGAATTCAGCTGTGAATCCATCTGGTCCTGGACTTTTTTTGGTTGGTAGGCTATTAATTATTGCCTCAATTTCAGAGCCTGCTATTGGTCTATTCAGGGATTCAACTTCTTCCTGGTTTAGTCTTGGAAGAGTGTAAGTGTCCAGGAAATTATCCATTTCTTCTAGATTTTCCAGTTTATTTGCGTAGAAGTGTTTATAGTATTCTCTGATGGTAGTTTGTATTTCTGTGGGGTTGGTGGTGATATCCCCTTTATCATTTTTAATTGCGTCGATTTGATTCTTCTCTCTTTTCTTCTTTATTAGTCTTGCTAGTGGTCTGTCAATTTTGTTGATCTTTTCAAAAAACCAACTCCTGGATTCATTGATTTTTTGGAGGGTTTTTTGTGTCTCTATCTCCTTCAGTTCTGCTCTGATCTTTTTTTTTTTTTTTTTTTTTTTTTTTTTTTTTTTTTTTTTTGTTTAGACAGAGTCTCCCTGTGTCGCCCAGACTGGAGTGCAGTGGCCGGATCTCAGCTCACTGCAAGCTCCGCCTCCCGGGTTCAAGCCATTCTCCTGCCTCAGCCTCCCGAGTAGCTGGGACTACAGGCGTCCGCCACCTCGCCCGGCTAGTTCTTGTATTTTTTAGTAGAGACGGGGTTTCACCGTGTTAGCCAGGATGGTCTCCATCTCCTGACCTTGTGATCCGCCCGTCTCGGCCTCCCAAAGTGCTGGGATTACAGGCTTGAGCCACCGCGCCCGGCTCTGCTCTGATCTTGGTTATTTCTTGCCTTCTGCTAGCTTTCGAATGTGTTTGCTCTTGCTTCTCTAGTTCTTTTAATTGCGATGTTAGAGTGTCAATTTTAGATCTTTTCTGCTTTCTCTTGTGGGCGTTTAGTGCTATAAATTTCCCTCTACACACTGCTTTAAATGTGTCCCAGAGATTCTGGTATGTTGTATCTTTGTTCTCATTGGTTTCAAAGAACATCTTTATTTCTGCCTTCATTTCGTTATGTACCCAGTAGTCATTCAGGAGCAGGTTGTTCAGTTTCCATGTAGTTGAGCGGTTTTGATTGAGTTTCTTAGTCCTGAGTTCTAGTTTGATAGCACTGTGGTCTGAGAGACACAGTGTTATAATTTCTGTTTGTTATAATTTCTGTTCTTGTACATTTGCTGAGGAGTGCTTTACTTCCAATTACGTGGTCAATTTTGGAGTAAGTACGATGTGGTGCTGAGAAGAATGTATATTCTGTTGATTTGGGGTGGAGAGTTCTATAGATGTCTATTAGGTCTGCTTGCTGCAGAGATGAGTTCAATTCCTGGATATCCTTGTTAACTTTCTGTCTCGTTGATCTGTCTAATGTTGACAGTGGAGTGTTGAAGTCTCCCATTATTATTGTATGGGAGTCTAAGTCTCTTTGTAAGTCTCTAAGGACTTGCTTGATGAATCTGGGTGCTCCTGTATTGGGTGCATATATATTAGGATAGTTAGCTCTTCCTGTTGAATTGATCCCTTTACCATTATGTAATGGCCCTCTTTGTCTCTTTTGATCTTTGATGGTTTAAAATCTGTTTTATCAGAGACTAGTATTGCAACCCCCGCTTTTTTTTGTTCTCCATTTGCTTGGTAAATCTTCCTCCATCCCTTTATTTTGAGCCTATGTATGTCTCTGCGTGTGAGATGGGTCTCCTGAATACAGCAGACTGATGGGTCTTGACTCTTTATCCAGTTTGCCAGTCTGTGTCTTTTAATTGGAGCATTTAGTCCATTTACATTTAACGTTAAGATTGTTATGTGTGAACTTGATCCTGCCATTATATTAACTGGTTATTTTGCTCGTTAGTTGATGCAGTTTCTTCCTAGCCTCGATGGTCTTTACATTTTGGCATGTTTTTGCAATGGCTGGTACCAGTTGTTCCTTTCCATGTTTAGTGCTTCCTTCAGGGTCTCTTGTAAGGCAGGCCTAGTGGTGACAAAATCTCTAAGCATTTGCTTATCTGTAAAGGATTTGATTTCTCCTTCACTTATGAAACTTAGTTTGGCTGGATATGAAATTCTGGGTTTAAAATTCTTTTCTTTAAGAATGTTGAATATTGGCCCCCACTCTCTTCTGGCTTGTAGAGTTTCTGCCGAGAGATCTGCTGTTAGTCTGATGGGTTTCCCTTTGTGGGTAACCCTACCTTTCTCTCTGGCTGCCCTTAAGATTTTTTCCTTCATTTCAACTTTGGTGAATCTGGCAATTATGTGTCTTGGAGTTGCTCTTCTCGAGGAGTATCTTTGTGGCGTTCTATGTGTTTCCTGGATTTGAATGTTGGCCTGCCCTACTAGGTTGGGGAAGTTCTCCTGGATGATATCCTGAAGAGTGTTTTCCAACTTGGTTCCATTTTCCCTGTCACTTTCAGGCACCCCAATCAGACGTAGATTTGGTCTTTTTACATAATCCCATACTTCTTGCAGGCTTTGTTCATTTCTTTTTCTTCTTTTTTTTTTTGGTTTCTCTTCTCGCTTCATTTCATTCATTTGATCCTCAATCGCTGATACTCTTTCTTCCAGTTGATCGAGTCGGTTACTGAAGCTTGTGCATTTGTCACGTATTTCTCGTGTCATGGTTTTCATCTCTTTCATTTCGTTTAGGACCTTCTCTGCATTAATTACTCTAGCCATCAATTCTTCCACTTTTTTTTCAAGATTTTTAGTTTCTTTACGCTGGGTACGTAATTCCTCCTTTAGCTCTGAGAAATTTGATGGACTGAAGCCTTCTTCTCTCATCTCGTCAAAGTCATTCTCCGTCCAGCTTTGATCCGTTGTTGGCGATGAGCTGCGCTCCTTTGCCGGGGGAGATGCACTCTTATTTTTTGTATTTCCAGCTTTTCTGCCCTGCTTTTTCCCCATCTTTGTGGTTTTATCTGCCTCTGGTCTTTGATGATGGTGATGTACTGATGGGGTTTTGGTATAGGTGTCCTTCCTGTTTGATAGTTTTCCTTCTAACAGTCAGGACCCTCAGCTGTAGGTCTGCTGGAGATTGCTTGAGGTCCACTCCAGACCCTGTTTGCCTGGGTATCAGCAGCAGAGGCTGCAGAAGATAGAATATTTCTGAACAGCGAGTGTACCTGTCTGATGCTTGCTTTGGAAGTTTCCTCTCAGGGGTGTACTCCACCCTGTGAGGTGTGGGGTGTCAGACTGCCCCTAGTTGGGGATGTCTCCCAGTTAGGCTACTCAGGGGTCAGGGACCTACTTGAGCAGGGAGTCTGTCCCTTCTCAGATCTCAACCTCCGTGTTGGGAGATCCACTGCTCTCTTCAAAGCTGTCAGACAGAGTCGTTTGCGTCTGCAGAGGTTTCGGCTGAGTTTGTTATTGTTTACTGTGCCCTGTCCCCAGAGGTGGAGTCTACAGAGACAGGCAGGTTTCCTTGAGGTGCTGTGAGCTCCACCCAGTTCGAGCTTCCCAGCAGCTTTGTTTACCTACTTAAGCCTCAGCAATGGCGGGCGCCCCTCCCCCAGCCTCGCTGCTGCCTTGCCGGTAGATCACAGACTGCTGTGCTAGCAATGAGGGAGGCTCCGTGGGCATGGGACCCTCCTGGCCAGGTGTGGGATATGATCTCCTGGTGTGCCTGTTTGTGCTTAAAGCGCTGTATTGGGGTGGGAGTTACCCGCTTTTCCAGGTGTTGTGTGTCTCAGTTCCCCTGGCTAGGAAAAGGGATTCCCTTCCCCCTTGCGCTTCCCAGGTGAGGCGATGCCTCGCCCTGCTTCAGCTCTGGCTGGTGGGGCTGCAGCAGCTGACCAGCACCGATCGTCCGGCACTCCCCAGTGAGATGAACCCAGTACCTCAGTTGAAAATGCAGAAATCACCGGTCTTCTGTGTGGCTCGCGCTGGGAGTTGGAGACTGGAGCTGTTCCTATTGGGCCATCTTGCTCCGCCCTCCAGTTATTTGCATATTTAATGAAATTTCAGTATTATTTAATACGTACTTATGTTACCTATCCACAGTATTTGTTAAAGATGGTCTTTTATCTAAAATATAAACAAAAATTTAACAATAAATTAAAAGCATGTAAGATGTATATAAATACAGACACTTCGATGTAAATGAAAATGCATAAATAGTGTGTAATTCGGTATGTTTCAGTTCTTAAATCTACAGCCTGGTTTAAGAATGCCTCATGCTTCCTTAATTTTCCTTAGGTAAGGAAAGTATTTTAGAAAAGTTTAAAGAGTCAACCTATTACAAAGGAATTTTCATTGAACAAAAAAGTATCGTTATGCATTTTACTGTACTACTACTAATAAATTATCTCAGATGCCCAGTGTATTATGGTTTTCAACTAGCCATCATCGTATAATTATAAATACTCTATTTGCTTATTAATTAGAAAATTGCTATTTGGGCAATATTGAATTTTAGATGTGTAATGTTTTACCATTTTCTGTGCTTTTTGAAAAAAGTAATTTTGGAATTTAAAGTATTTTTAATAATATTTCAGATAAAGAGTCTACCAGATAACAAATTTTGGAGTGGATTGAAGAATCTAAAACTCCTCTATCTTCATGACAATGGGTTTGCAAAGTTAAAGAATATATGTGTATTATCTGCCTGTCCAAACCTCATTGCCCTCACTATGTTTGATTGCCCAGTAAGCCTTAAAAAAGGATATAGACATGTTCTTGTTAACAGTATATGGCCTCTCAAAGCACTGGATCATCATGTGATTTCTGATGAAGAAATAATTCAGAACTGGCATCTTCCTGAAAGATTCAAAGCATGTAACCATCGACTTTTCTTTAATTTCTGCCCAACTTTGAGAAAGGTAATTGGCTTCTTTAGGGTTTCATTTTAATTAAATGTATAAAAGGAAAATTTTAGCTTCTGAGTTCTATATCTAAATTATATGAACTCTTTAATATTTTTGCATCATGTATATAAAATAATATAAACCAGTGAATATATTTGTAATGTCTATCTGAAACTTTATAAAAGTTTGTATGCCTACTACATGAAAAGCCTGAAATGATCAAATTGTAGAGAAACAAATTGTTGTTTTTTAAATTGAAAGTAAATCTCTAATTTATTCAGGATTTGGTATATGAAAGACTCCATTGGGAAATACTTAATGTTTTTTGAGAGCCTTAAAGGACAACTTAGATTATTATTAGAAGAAGATAAAATATTTATTTCTCACACAATTAATTTGATTATTTAACAAGATCAAACCATCATTATCTGTTGGTTTATAAAATGTTAGAAGAAGTGATTGTGAAAAGTTGATGCCTAGTTAATGGTTACAGACTACTTAAGTGGATTTACAAAAACATAAGGAAACATTCTTTGTGACACATGAATGAGTATTAGAACAAATCATTTAAGAGTTCAAAAGAATGGGTTAAATTGGTACAAGATATAGTAACAATGTAAGTTGCAGGAGGTGTTTATAATATGTTCTAAAGATATGTGAAGTCACATATATGTGTGTAGAAAATTTGAGGAAGAATAGAACATCATTTTGAACAGTGAGTATATCTAAAAGAGTATATAAACATTGAACAGTGATTATGCATGGAAAAGCTGAAAATTACAAAGTTGGAAGAATTTTATTACTGCATATAATTTTTTTTAATTAGAAGTATATTAGTGATTTTGTAATAGTTTTAAAAATTTAGGATTTTGATAATAATTTTGTAGTAATATTTAAAAATATAAAAAACACGGTACTATTTAAGTCTGATATCTTAACCTGGGCCCTAAATAAAGAATTTCACTTTGGTACTTCACTTGTGTAGTATGGCATAATCAAAGGTGGCAACACGCATGAGCCTTTTAAGGATAATCAAAGTGACTGAGATTCATTTAAGGAAGTAATGGAAAGTTGGGCAGTGGGCATTGAGAAAGAACTTGGACGACCTACTAAAGAGCTTAGACTTGATGAATATAATGAAGATTAATTGAAATTATTAGAGGTAGGAAAATTAGAGTAGGTCCCTCATAGTAAGTGCTCTATGAATAAATGGTATTGACAAGGTCTTTAGAAGGTGATCAACCCAACATTTTGCTAGCAGATTAATGGAGGATAGAAACCAAATGAGGGCAGGGGAATCAATTACTATAGGTTCAAAATGATGTGATTAGGATTGATATAGGCGGATACCAGTAATAAAGAAGAAAGAACACAGTGGAGAAGACAGACACATATTCAGTGAATGCCATTGTGGTAGGTGCTTTATATATTTTATTTCTTCATTCTTTCTGAGTACCTATGAAAAGGACTGTCTGGGACTTGGAGATTCAGTGGTAAATAATACTGACAAAATTATTATCCTCTTTAAGGAAAAGGCAGAGAGACTAGATGAATCTGGAAACAAGAATAAAACAACTATAGAATGTCAGCTAGTGTTAATTGCTAAAGAAAAGAAAGTAAGACATTAACACAGACTGAAAGGGGTAGAGATTTGGGCTACATTAGGTAGGGTGGACAGGGAAGGCCTTTTTATTTATTCCTCATCGTTTCCTTGGATGTGGAAAAGCATTCTTTTACAGGAGAAAATGAAGCATAGTGAGGTAGGAACTTACTCAATATTGGACAGAAAATGAGTCATGAGCTGGGATTTCAGCAAGTCTGCAGTCAACATTGCATCACAAATGACAGACAGTACAGAGATTTGAGTGTGCTTTTCACACTGAATGTGGGAATTGGGGAAGAATAAGTGCGGAAATACTCCACTATTTTGAAGCTGGATAACTGGGACACAAAAAAACTTATTTATCAGAAATGGCAGCACTTAAAGAGTTTTGGTAAAAGGTAAGTTTGGTCATACTTATGTGAAAGCAGGATATTAAAGAAGAAATATTAACTAGACATTGGATATGAAAAACAAAAATTCAGAAATAGTGTTCTGGACTTTGAGTGTAAATTCGGGAGTGTTTGCTTGGGGTCATAGTTAAAGCCTAGTTCTCTCAGGTAAATACAGGGATCAGTAAAGGCTGAAAACTAAGGTTACAACCTTGGGGCACAGTCTCATTTTGTGGGTAGAAAGCAGTGTAACCAATGAAGATAAAGGATAATCGATCTCAGCAGGGAAGAGGAAAAAAAATTAAATTGAAAAAAAAAACGCATTGGAAGAATTTTTGATGATAAAGAGGATGTCGCATCTTTGGAATTTCAGTAGCTTGCAGTTGTTGGATATGAAATTGTAATGGGTTATATGTAATTGCCAAATATAGAACCTTTACTGAGAATGTTTTGGACAGAAGAAAGATAAAGCTTTAACTATAGGAAATAGAATTTATGAAAGATCTATTAAAGTGAAGTGGTACTTACCTCACTTTAACTTACCAAATATATAACTTACCATATTTAGAAACTGAGGATAAATAAGTTTTGATTAGAAAGAGAAAGAGATTGAAAATATCATAAATGAAGAAATAATGGGAGAGAATCATTGTGAAGAAGTACAAATGGACAGCAACACAAATGGAGTAAGACATAAAGAGATATAGGCATACCAAATGCTGACGTGATTTTTGTGAGTTGTGGAGATTTAAAGAAATCTTTCTGAATAACAATTTTTGAGGCTATCTATAAATTTGTGTTTGTTACTTCCACTAAGCAAGGTTCTTTTGATTGTTCTTTGATCATTGAAATGTTTTATATTTTATTTAATTTACAGCAAAAAAATAACTCTTTAGAAGGAATAAATGTAAACCTATGGGGATAATTATTTAGTAATGCTTGAAATATATGTTTTAGAACATTTCATTGGACTTATTAACGAGTATAAGAATATTATGAAAACAAAAATAATGAGCCTTGTAAGAGTTCACACAATTATTTTATTTAATTGGTATTCTTTCTTAAGGAGCGCTTGAATGTAGAAATTAAAGAAGCATATGCCCATTTGAAAAGAGACAAATCTAGTAGTGTAATTAAAGCTTGTGCCTTATAACACACACACACACACACACACACACACACACACACAAAATCCAGAAAGATTTTATCCTTAATTGTGACATAAAATGATTTCTAACCTTTATTTTTTGAGTCAGAAAAAAAGGAGGAAGCATGGATTCTTTTTTGCTGTATGAAATCAAAGTAACTTTACAAATTTGAAGTGCTTAGTTATCTAAAATCATATCATGGAAGGATATATATCTATATTTTGATTGTTTTATATATGTAACTTTTTAAAGATCAGAGTGATCTGGGCAAGAAACCAGTGCTATCAGCCAGTATTGCATTTTGTTTACATCTAATAGAAATCCTTCTAAATAAGGATTTTATTTTCATCATGTTACAGAAAATTAGGATATAGGAAGTCCTTCCTTGTAGTTGCTCAAGGAAATCATGAAGGACCAAGTTTATTCTAGCTTCCTGCTCTTCCACCTTTAGCAAGTGGACAGACCACCTACCTCTCATAGGCAATGAACTTCTTCACATCCAAGCATGTGCTTAGGCCAGAAAAAAGGATTGGTGAGAACAAAAATCACGTGCCAGTGAAGTCTGTTCATTTTATATTAGGAAATAATAGCTCCTGCAAATGTCTTACTTGATAGACTTCTACCACTGGAACTGCCTCACATGACTACCACTAGATAGAATGGAATCTGGTATGATGAGTATTTTAAGTGGACACATTTACTTCCTAAACAAAATCAATATTCTATTAATAAAAAGAAAGAAAGATTCTTGTAAGGCAGTTAATATTTCTGTCACACAGAGAAAAACAAATTGATAATGCAATACAAGATTGATACTTTAAGGTAGAGATTTCTAGCTTGAGCATTTAGCATCCATTTGTTCTTTTAATGTAAATGTCAAACAAAATATAAAAATGGTATGTATAATTACCAAAAATGATTTAAATGTAAATTTATAATTCACTCGATAGAGTAATATAGATTAAATAATTTTTGTAAAATTTAACGTTTTTTGCTTTCAAAAAAATATGAAAAATAAAAAAAGAATATACAATTATACAGTCTGTATGAAAAAAACCATAAAAGTGTCAAAAGTAAGATTATGCCTTATAAAAATTACATGTTTACATTTATGGATGTGACCTGAATGTAAATGTAAGTAAATTGTAAATGTATTATAAATGAATGTAAAAGCCAAAATGAAGTTGTTTATTGGCAAGAATGATTCCAGAAACGAAAGTAACGATGAACAGATCAACATAAAATGCTAAGCAAATATATATTAAGTAGAACAAAGGAAAGAACTTTACATTAATTTCAAACAATGTAGAATTCAGTATATAAAGGGTTAAATGTCATATATAGGAACTCTTTCATTGATAGAAAAAGTAACAGCCAAAATAGTGATATTTTAGTTCTGACCATTAATGTGCACAATAGTATTATGTAAAAACATATAAATACTTTGATAAATATAAGAATAAATCAATAGAAAATATTGTAGTAGAAAGAAAACGTATCATTTTTATGTCAACAAATTGTGTGTGGAAAAATAAGCACATAGGGCTTCCACAATATCAAGAAAATGGAGTAGATATTCCTCTAAGTACAATTAAATATCCTTGACATTATATACGTAGTAATTACTGTGTATTATATAATTTATATAATCTGTAATAAACATATTAATTCCCTAAAACATTAAAATATATGTTCCTTAAAACATATAATGTAAAACATATAATTCCTTAAGATATTATATATAATAAACATATTAATATCTTAAAAATTATACAGAAAACAAACATCAATAGACTAAAAAGGTAAAGAGAAGAGGCAGACTGGATAGAACAATTGAAACCCAAGGAATGACACAGTGGTAAGTTCTTCATTTTG